CAGGGTCTTACCTTAACTCGGGATATGTTTCCTTATACAGTTCTTCAGTTAGTGTTCAGTGACACGTATTATGTCTTTCCCTCAAGTAATTGATATCAGACTGATATTAACTGACACTAAGTATTCTCGATGTCTCTTATATATTCTTGTACAGAGCAAACATGGAGAGTTAGCAACAATATTGAAATTGTTTTTAGTTGAGTATTGCTGGACTGATCCATTAAAAGAAATTGGTTAATTGGAAGGTATTTTGAATGGATAATAATGGGAATGGTTAATAGTGAAACACCTGCCGACATATTCTGCAAACAGTTTTTCACTATTTTCTTCGTCATTTATTGCGCAGCAAGAAATTCTTTAACATGTGTCCCAGATGCTTTCACTTTAAAATCTCAGCTCTCTCTCTATCCAGTATTTCATCATAAAATAATCAATTTTTCTTTGGGTGCAAAGGGAATATTCTTTGCGGTTTTCTGCATGCAGAAAGCGTTGGGGATGCTTTTTCTTAAGACACATTTATTAGCACAAAGATTTACATTTTTTGCCAAGAATGACTTGGCTGTCTTCCGCATTTCATTTACGAGTAGACGTAATTGCTTCCAAGAATTTAATGGAATTGTTATTGGTTTCCAAGTGCTGCCGCAAAGCAGAAATAAAGCAAAGGAAAACGCGTTTAATTGACCTTATTAAAAATCAGAATTACCAATGAACATTAATTACGCATTTAGATTTAGATTAAAATTATAGAAGTTACGATCAATTAATTAAAAGATTTTTCCGACGCACTCAGGTTTCTTTTTCTTTCTTTCATTCTTTTTTTTTTTTTTTTTTTTTTTTTTTTTTTTTTTTTTTTTCTGGTGACACGGCAATCACCTTTGCGCCTTTTACACGCATAATGTTTGTAGGAAAAAACTGCTTTTCTTTATTTCACCTTGAGAATTTTGTATATTTTTAGATTATTTTCACTGTAGACCCAAACATGAATTTGTTCATGGTCCAGTCAAGTAATAACTAGTCTTTTTTAACAGGGGCACCCAACGACAATTTTCGGGAAAATATCTGCTCGGAAGACGATTTGAGATCTAGAATTTTCGGAACATTTGTTGTAAAATTTCTTGCTTGCCTGCTTCTCCTAGGATTTTCGAACATCTAAAATATGGTGTAATTGCCTATTTTTAACAGATTTTTACCCTAAAAAGGTCACCTAGAATTTTCGGAAGCCTTTTTCTGGCTGAAATTTTCGAATAGGTAAGTTTTGATCATTAGACTTTCAGCTAGGAAATCCGAACAGATGAAAACATTTTAGGGGATAAAAATATGCACGTCTACCGTTGAAATACCAAAATACGTTTAACAATGCTATGTTTGAGTGGTTTTGAACTATATTCTCGTTGGTTGCCCCTGTTTCTAAGACGAGGTCGAGGCTATGATGACCTGATTTTCAACAGTCTTCGGCTTTTCATTTGGCCGATTGACTTTGATTGGTTTCGCAAATCGAATAAAATCGAACTGAACCGTTCGATTTTGTTAGATAATCGAACAAATTGCTGACTGAACTCAAATCTGTTGGTACTCACATTTCGTGTATTTTTCAGAAAATTTTATTAAGAGGTAAAATCTGATACACCCTATCTCCGTTCCTGTAAATTTGGAGATCTTTCATGTTTGTTTGTTTTTAAGAAATTTGTACTGCTATAATCAGGTGAGCCATGGTTCTATCCTAAACTAATGAAAAAAAAAAAAAACGTCATTATCCAACTTCAGAGTATATATGGTGGGCCAGTAAGGTTCACTGAATGCGACCATACGGTTATGACCTGGAGCATCCTGCTTTCAAGAATTGTGAGAAACTCGAATACGTTTACTAGTAGACTGAAATATTTCTGACTGACGCTCTCGCAATATATATTACTTTAAAAAATTTCTTTAGCAAGCTTTATCTTACCGGATTCCACACAAAAAAATTACGTTAAGGAAAGAAATAAACAAAAATAAATAAAATGTTACTGCAGCGAACCCATGGTTTTTACCTTGATTCTGTTGCTCATAAAGTTCTTCTGTTTAAGTTGATCGTCACTTGTCAGTGGCTGTCTCCGCCATGCCTTTTTAAGGTAGAGAAAATAAGCAACATAAAACCAAGAATCGGACTGTTAACAGCGTGGTCAATCTCCTTTATCCTTGAAACTTATCTTAAGCATTAAGAGTAAGCAACAATGTTGAAAGTGATTTTAGTTAAGCAGTCCTCGGCCAATGCATCAAGAGAGCTTTGTTGATAATTTTAATGGAAAATAATGTGAACGATTAAGATAAAAACATCATACATTCTGTAAACACGAGGAAAATGCTTTACAAATTTTCCATTTTCTCTTCCCAATTTTGCAGTAAGAAATTTGTTGACAAGCATCGTCGACATGCTTTTGCAATTTTCTGGTTCTTTTTCTCTGTTCCTCAGTTGATCCTAAATTGATTTTTTGTTTCGTGCCAATTTGTGCGCTTGTTCTTGACTTGCGGATGAAGAGGAGGAAGATCTTGTTCTCAAAGACTAAAAAAAGCGTTTCTCTTAACATTTATCACTAGAACAATTGTCCGTGCATATTTATAGCTTATTGTTGGTACACCCACTTGACTGACTTCCGCATTCTGTTCAAGTGTAATTGTTCTGAAGAAGTCAAAAAATAGAAATTAATTTAAGGCCGAGCCATTAAATGCTTTTACCATGATTTTAATTTATTATTATTATTATTATTATTATTATTATTATTATTATTATTATTATTACTATTATTATCATCATCAATGTATTTCTCGACCAAACAACTTGAGGGATTTTAGAGAAACAATGAAAGATAAATTTCTAGTAGATTACGACTACCTTTTTGACAGAAACCCATGGTAGCTGCGGCAGTCGTCTTTGAGTCTTTAACACTGGAAATTTTTGTAGGAAAGACAGATGAATGCAGTTTTTACCAACGAGCAGTAGTTGGTCAGGAGTTTCTCTTCCTTCCTGTCATTTTTCAGGTTGTGTGTACCAACCGGGAACATGGTCGTCAAACTGCTCTACAACCAGTGAAAGTGCATTATTTTGTTATTGTCGAGTATGAATATATCAAAACAAAGTACCTTATAAAATGAAAGGTAGAGATTCAATAAAGTGCAAATAAATGGTCCCGCACTCGACAACCTCGTCCGCAGGGGTGTTCCATCAGAAATTGCGAGAGGCTGCCTACCGGAAACAAGGTTGCGCATCAGTTCTGACCGTTCTGACGTTTATCTTCCTCTTTCTCAGCGTACTCTCATAGAGCAGAGGAGTGTGTCTTATACGAAGAAATGAAGGATTTTTGTGAATACTCTTTCTTTTCATTGAAAACATCGTAAGAAAATAATTTTTCCCTTAACTTTTTGCTCTTTGATGCTCGCTCCCTACCTGATGTCCGCCGTATCTGTGGGACAATAAAGGAGAGTTTGGCAGGATGAGATTTCCGCAAGAATTCTCAAAAAGCTGTCGATTCCGTCATGTCACGGGCAGTTGTCTTCAAATCGAGTATTTCTGTAACAACCTCGCTTGAGATTGACGAAAAGGGGAGTATTATGTCTAAGGGGAACAGGATGTAAAATAAGAACACCTGGTTATGCACTTGTCTAACAAAGTTATTTGTTTCCTGGTCAACAGGAAAGGCTTGCCGCAAAACGCTTGTGTGCATGAAGCCCCAGTCTTTAATTAACATTCAACAAGTCTTCTACCCTGCACATATGCGGCCTTAATTGTGAGTAACTGTTTCTGCAATTAGCAGAGTAGTTTCCTCGCGAGATGCGGTAGCGTTTCCATGACTTTTCATGATGAATGGTAGATACCGAGGTTCGTCACGGTGGGCATATGTGACATCAGAAAACGCTCACCTTCATTCATTTTTTTTTAGTTTCAACGCAATTCACTTGAAATCTTGCAACAATATAGAACTCACCATTCCAAAAAAAACGCATGTGTTTTGTTCTTCAGATTTTGGCATTTTGGCGGGAAAAGACGTCACAAAGTTCCTGCCAAATTTTGTTTTCGATATTATGGGATATCTAATGATGGTTTCTGAAAGAGGTCACCATAAGGATGTCAAAAGTGAAAAAATTTTTGAAATAGGCCTTACCACTCAAAAGATATTAGGGTTTTGAAAGTTCAATTTTCCGCCATTTTGTTACTAATAATAGAACAAAATGGCGAAACATTCAAGTGGTAGTCTTTTTACGTTATGCTCTTTTCGCCACTTAAAAGTTCCATGTTGCCTTCCACGTAAATGCTACATTTACATTGCCCAGTAAAATGTTCGGTCGTCCCCCAAAAAGTCATTAAGGCTCGTTTTATCAGTTCTAAACATTTTAAGGGTGTTGTTAAAGGCTAACGAAAATGTACACAAGTGCATTGACAACAATTTATATAAGCTAAGAATTTTGATACAGCAAAAAATGGTCCTCTACATGGCTGTATTGAAGTGAATTTTTGTTTGTTCGTCTGTTTGTTTGAATTTCGAGTTTAAATCGTCATTTTCGCTTTAAAATGTTTTAATATTTGTTTTCTCTGAGATAAAAAAAATTCCGGGAAAATGCTACACGGCTAAAATGCTCTAATAATGCATTGATAAATGTGGCTGTAAATGGTGGGTACGTTTACATGTACATGAAGTATTTAATTTCAGTGGTTTATTCAAAATTCCATATTTTCGTCGGAGTGTTCCGGGTGCTCTGGCATTAAGCACACAAGGTCTTGTTTATCTCCCTTATTATTTGTTATTTTTCAATTGTGGTCACTTTCTTAACCGTTGTAAGAGTCGTCTCCCTCTAAATTTCATTTAGGTTGGTAGTGCGATAGTTGGTTAAATCGCTTTTGCTTTTATTGTTATCCTCATATGTCATTGCAGTTGCTGCCTCGGTAATGTTGTTACTTTTTTGGGCTGTTATTGCGGTTTCGCTGTTGTATGAGACAGCCTGTGATGGTTTTTGTTGTAGTTGTTGTTGTTGTTGTTGTTGTTGTTGTTGTTGTTGTTGACAGCTGATGATGGCTGCGCTTGGGAAGAGCATTTAAACAAGCCTCTAACAGCTTTGCGCATATTTCTAGAACGACCGAGGTTTAACAAAGGATTTAAAACTCCATTTAATTGGATGAAAACAGCGTAGAAAGGCTTAAAAAGCAGAGAATTCTTATAGAGTCCTTTCGCAGACAAAACAAATGGGACAAGAAGCGCTGGGAAGTAGGTCAATACCAAAATTAAAAGAATCCCAGCAACTGTGTTAGTTAATCGTTTTTCCCTTTTCAAACGAGCGTCGTTTGGGTTTCCTACTTCAACAGTTTTTCGAAAATGAATGCGAAGATAACAGAACATTATGATAATTACGTAAATAGCGAAAAGAACTAGCGTTAAAGTTTGTGCCAAAGGTTTGTAAATGCCACCAAAAGTTCCTGATAAGAAGATCGCAACTGCACTAACCACACTGATGCACCACGGTGTGCATACTACCTTAAAAGCACGTGATTTTGTCATGTGATTGCGATACCACCAAGGACTTCGCACTGCCAAATAGCGATCTCTACTGATAACTGCCAGGTTACCGAGTGTGGCTTGGACACAAAGAGCACTGAAGGCAGATTCAACAGGCCTAGGCTGCACGTTTCGACACGTGAAGCGTTCGTATGTGGATAATTCTACGAATCTGTGCATGAAATACACAGGAAAAATTGTGTCAGTCACTGCCAAACTGCATATCATAAACATCGCGGGATATTGAAGGGATTTGGTTCGTGCAACAGCTATGATAACAAGCGTATTTAAGACAAATGACGAAAAGGCCAGAATAAGATTCAGAGGACCGAAAACGTATTTGCTAATGTTCAGTAACTGGAGTTGGGTATCGATTGAAAGGCCAGCAATCAGGCAATCTTGGTAGCAAAACCGGCTAGAGTTGTGCGCAGCCATCGTTCAAACCTGAAATTTAAAAACAAAAAAAGACAATTCCATTAATTCCGAGCGTATTTTTGGGTAACCTTGGTTCGTTAAAGGACACCCGCGCGATACTGAGCGTTTTTTTTATGAATAAGAAACTCCTGCTTACATTAGATCTTTGTTGAGAGTTATAACTGATAATATTCGAACCTTGTTTGAGCAAAATTAAATACTGAGTCATTTTTATACGTTTAGCAAAAATTGCGAGAAACTCGCATACGGTAAGGACAACTTGCTTTCGGTTTCGTATTATGTTACCATCAAAAATTAATAAAATTAAATTTTGTTACCGCATACTCAGTTTTCGCTTGTCTCGCATGATTCCAAAAAGAACATGAAAGAAAGGAAAGAAAATATAATAACAAAATAAAAACTTATTGCAACAGCCACAACATAGTCCACGTTTACCCTCTTTATACTAAGCTTTGACATTTGCATGGTGGTTAAATGAGAATAAACGTACGAAAAGTAAAACAAGAGACCATGGTTTTTACTTTAATTCTGTAGGCGGGTTTTCTCATAAAGTTCTTCAATTGGTGATCATAAATCGTTGCTGTCGCAGCAAAACTTTTAATAGCTTGATAGAATAAGCAATGTCGATCAAACCGAGAATAGATCTAACTTAAACTGTTTTAACAAGCGACGTTGTGAAAGGCTTCTTGATAAGTTCACTTCCCAATATTGGCATGGACTGATGCATAAGGCTTTTGGGTTAGTAAAGAAGCAATTATAATAATAAAAATATATGGGAATTATTCACGTAAAAAAACCGGCCCACACATACTGTAACCTCTTTTTACAAATTTCCCTTCCTCCTTCCCAATAATCAGTTGCAGGGGAAAAAGACCTGTACAATCGTGCAATAACTGCTTTAAATTCATTCTCTCTCTCCCTTTTTAATTCTCTCTCTCTTGTTAAGGATATCGGTTAAAAATAATATTATTTTTTATAAATTTGCCGTAGACCAAAAAAGAACAATGCAAATTTGGTTATTAAAAAGGACATCATGGTTTTACCGTGACTCGGGATATGTTTCCTTATAACGGTTCTTCAGTTAGTGTTCACGTATTATGTCTTTCCCTCAAGTAACTGATGTCAGGCTGATATTAGCTGATGCTAAGTATTCTCGATGTCTCTTATATAGTTGGCAACTGAATCTTGAAAGCGTCTTTAGTTAAGTATTGCTGGACTGTCCATTAAGAGAAATTGGTTGATTGAAAGGTATTTTGAATAGATAAAAATGGGAATGGTTAACATTAAAACACCTGCCGACACATTCTGCAAACAGTTTTTCACTATTTTCTACGTCATTTAATGCGTAGCAAGAAATTCGTTAACACGTATCCCAATTTTTTTCCCTACAAAATCCTAGCTCTCTCTATCCAGTATTTCATCATAAAATAATTAATTTTTCTTTGTGTGCAAAGGGCATATTCCTTGCAGTATTCTGATACAAAAAGCGTTGGGGATCCTTGCTCTAAAGACACATAAATCACCACAAAATTGACATTTTTTGCTGCTTTCTGCATTTTATTTAAGAATATACGTATTACTAATCGCTTCAAAGAATTAAATGGATTTGTTATTTTTGGCAAGTACTGCCGCAACGCATAAATAAAGACAAGGGGAACGCGTTTAATTGATCATTAAAAATCAGAATTACCAATGACAGTTTCTTTTTCTTTTTTTCTTTTTTTTTTTTTTTTTTTTTTTTGGGGGGTAACACGGCAGTCACCTTCAAGTTGGTGCCTTTGACGCAGAAAATATTTGTAGGAAAAAACTGTTTTGCTTTATTTCACTTTGAGAATTCTGAATATTTTTAGAATATTTTCACTGTAGACCCAGAGATGAATTTGTTCATGATCCAGTCAAGTACAAATAAAGTGTATATGTAGAAATTGCCTTCACAAAATCCTGGCTCTTTCTATCTCTAAGCTTATCATGAAATAAGTGACCGATTTTTCTTTGCTTGAGCTCAAAGAATATTAAAGAGTTGGATATGCTTGTTCTAAAGACTGAATTTTTTTTTTTTTTCACAATTATCATTAGACAAACCTTCATTTGCATTTAAAAAAAAAACAATTGACTGTCTTTCCCATTTTTAAGCGTAATTGCTCCATTGAATTTATTGGATTTGTCATTTTCTGAGGACTACCAAAAGGCAGAAATAATGGCAAAAGGAACGCTTTAAATTGACATCTTCTAACAAATTAGAATTATTACCAATAGATTACCCTGCACGTCCGTTTAGATTAAGATTTAAATTACAATTTACCAAAAATTAATTTTCGTTTGTTTGTTTGCTTGTTTAATTGTGGTTTTGGCACTAGTTTATAGTAACTCCATATTAACTAGACACAAGTTCCCCTTGGGTGTAATGGAGGAACGGAGGACACGAAATGTTCAAAGGCAAACGGTGAAGGGACAAAGAAGAGTTTTTCACGGAAATTATATTTTTAGAATAAATCAAATTAGAAAGGGGTTGACTCGTAAACTTTATAGCACGTATATATATATATATGAAGATTTGGTTATTCTGCCTTTGGGCTTCGAGACAAGACATACTAACTCATACTAGCACTCACTTCAAACCCAGCGATACTCAAACTCCCGGCTCTTCGGCATATGACTCACTTAAACAAAGCCATTCTATTGATTCCTTTTTCGCTTTCATTAGAACTGCTTTAGAAAAATCCAATTTCGTTCACAAAGCTTTAATTTTAAGTTATCACCAGTCAAAAAAGGGAACAAGATACGCAGAAGGTGCCCGGCCCTTTCAGTCGTCCTAGGTTCAGAATTAAAGTAAGTCAGAGTAAAAGTAAGCAAAAGTTTGCAAAATGTGCAGTAATTTATTGGGCAATAGTGAGTTAATTTAGAGTCTCTTTTCTTCTTTTCATCTTCATCCCCTCTCCCCCCACCATGGAGCCTCAGGTGCCAGACTTATAAAAGAGAAGTAGCATGATTTTTTTGATAAGCTTTTTGAGAATGAGACGGTACTCATATTTTATCAAATACTCCGCAGCAACTTCCTGCTTCTAGATAATACAATTATTCTCCGTTCCTGTCACTTGGAAATTTGGAGTTCTTTTGAGTATGTATGTTGCGAATTTGTTTTGCTATAATTCATCTGAGACTGATCAAAGTGAAAAACCGTACTTTTCAATGACCTCTCTGACATCTAAAAGTTTTTCTGAAGAAAAAAAATGTCGTCCTTCGAAAACCTTACTGTCGAAATGTGGGTAGTCTAGTGCCAGCTGTGTGTACAGTTACCAAAAAAATATGACTTGCTTCGAAAGATCATAAAGACACTGAACGTGCTCGTTTGATGAATATTTTCAACAAAACACCTTTCAACAATGAGCACTAAATCAAATTATATTTTTTTTTTAATACGACTGACATTTAACAAAGGATTCAAAACTCCATTCAATTGCATAAAAATGACGTAATAAGGCCAAAAGGAAAGATTATAATTACCCCTTTTGCAACCAAAACACCTCCAAAAAGAAGGCCAGGAAAGTAGGTCAATACCAGAATCAAAACGATCCAAGCAACTGGGTTAGCTAGTCGTTTTTCCCTTTTCAAAAATGCGTCGTTTCGATTTCCCATTTGAATATTTTTTCTAAAATAAATACTAAGACAACAGAACGTGATGACAGATAAATAAAAAGGGAAAAGAACTAGAAGGAAAACTGCTGCCATAGGTGTGTAAACTCTGCTCGAACGTTTTGAAAAGTACGTTAAAACTGCATAAACCACACTGATAAGCCAAGGTAAGCATACTGTCTTAAAAGCACCTGATATTTTCTTGTGATTACGATACCACACAGGTCTTCGGACTGCCAAATAGCGATCTCTACTGATAACAGCCAGGTTACCAAGCGTTGTCAAGGTACAAAGACCACTGATGGCAACGGAGTGGGTGCGCATGCGATGTTGGACACTTGTGCTCGTGTGTGAATACCTCTATGTATCTGTACAAAGAATACAGTGGGAATATTATGTCAGTTACCGCCAAACTGCACATCATAACCATCGAGGGATACTAAAGGGATTTGGTTCGTGCCACAGCTATGATAACAAGCGTATTAAAGACAAATGTCAAAAAAGCCAGAATGAAACTCAGGGGACGGAAAACGTAGTTGCCAATGTTAAGTATCTGGTGTTGAACATCACTTGAAAGGTCAGCAATAAGGCACGCCTCGTAGGGATGCTGACTGGAGTTCTGCGCCTCTATGACTCTATCCTGAAATTTGAAAAAAAGAACGTGGGACTTCAATTCAGGGCTATTCGATAAATGACATGGGTGCGTTGAATGGGGCATTCATTGACACAGCAATGACAACAATTAGCGTAAAACTGACAAATAAAAAAAAAAGAAGAACAAAACCGGCAGAGGACAGAAAACGTAGTTGCCAATGTTTGTATGCGGCGTCGAGTATCACGCTTTGTAGGGAAACTGGCTGGAGTTTTGGGCAGCCGTAATTTTATCATTAATTTAAAAAAAGGAAAGACAGGAGGAAACTGAAGAAGAACGTGGTACTTTGATTCCGCGCGGGAAAAAATGGGTATTATTAGAAAGTCCTGTTTTCATTGGTCCTTGTCCTAGGATCAATTACTGGTAACCAATATTAATATTTTTTCCGATAAATTTTTAAGAAATGCACAAATAGTTAGCACTATTTACTGATGGTCTCTAACTAGATATTACTTCAAAAATTAAGAATTTGAGTGAAGGCGACATTTTTCGCCGTACCAGCAAAAAGTAGATTTTCATGACATCCTTACTTCTCTCTCTCCCCCCCCTCTCTCAGTCTTCTTTAGCACATCGGTTAAAAATAATATCATTTTTTGTAAATTTGCCGTAGATCCAAAAAAGAATAAAGCAAATCATTAAAAAGGACATCAGGGTCTTACCTTAACTCGGGATATGTTTCCTTATACAGTTCTTCAGTTAGTGTTCAGTGACACGTATTATGTCTTTCCCTCAAGTAATTGATATCAGACTGATATTAACTGACACTAAGTATTCTCGATGTCTCTTATATATTCTTGTACAGAGCAAACATGGAGAGTTAGCAACAATATTGAAATTGTTTTTAGTTGAGTATTGCTGGACTGATCCATTAAAAGAAATTGGTTAATTGGAAGGTATTTTGAATGGATAATAATGGGAATGGTTAATAGTGAAACACCTGCCGACATATTCTGCAAACAGTTTTCACTATTTTCTTCGTCATTTATTGCGCAGCAAGAAATTCTTTAACATGTGTCCCAGATGCTTTCACTTTAAAATCTCAGCTCTCTCTCTATCCAGTATTTCATCATAAAATAATCAATTTTTCTTTGGGTGCAAAGGGAATATTCTTTGCGGTTTTCTGCATGCAGAAAGCGTTGGGGATGCTTTTTCTTAAGACACATTTATTAGCACAAAGATTTACATTTTTTGCCAAGAATGACTTGGCTGTCTTCCGCATTTCATTTACGAGTAGACGTAATTGCTTCCAAGAATTTAATGGAATTGTTATTGTTTTCCAAGTGCTGCCGCAAAGCAGAAATAAAGCAAAGGAAAACGCGTTTAATTGACCTTATTAAAAATCAGAATTACCAATGAACATTAATTACCCATTTAGATTTAGATTAAAATTATAGAATTTACGATCAATTAATTAACAGATTTTTCCGACGCACTCAGGTTTCTTTTTCTTTCTTTCATTCTTTTTTTTTTTTTTTTTTTTTTTGACACGGCAATCACCTTTTCGCCTTTTACACGCATAATGTTTGTAGGAAAAAACTGCTTTTTTTTATTTCACCTTGAGAATTTTGTATATTTTTAGATTATTTTCACTGTAGACCCAAACATGAATTTGTTCATGGTCCAGTCAAGTAATAATTAGTCTTTCTAACAGGGGCACCTAACGACAATTTTCGGAAAAATATCTGTTCGGAAGACGATTTGAGATCTAGAATTTTCGGAAAATTTGTTGCAAAATTTCTTGCTTGCCTGCTTCTCCTAGGATTTTCGAACATCTAAAATATGGTGTAATTGCCTATTTTTAACGGATTTTTACCCTAAAAAGGTCACCTAGAATTTTCGGGAGCCTTTTTTCTGGCTGAAATTTTCGAAAAGGTAAGTTTTGATCACTAGACTTTCAGCTAGGAAATCCGAACAGATGAAAAATTTTTAGGGGATAAAAATATGCCTATATCTACCGTTGAAATACCAAAATACGTTTAACAATGCTATGTTTTAGTGGTTTTGAACTATATTCTCGTTGGTTGCCCCTGTTTCTAAGACGAGGTCGAGGCTATGATGACCTGATTTTCAACAGTCTTCGGCTTTTCATTTGGCCGATTGACTTTGATTGGTTTCGCAAATCGAATAAAATCGAACTGAACCGTTCGATTTTGTTAGATAATCGAACAAATTGCTGACTGAACTCAAATCTGTTGGTATTCATATTTCATGTACTTTTCAGAAAATTTTATTAAGAGGTAAATCTGATACAGTACTTACTCCTATCTCCGTTCCTGTAAATTTGGGGTCTTTCATGTCTGTTTTTAAGAAATTTGTACTGCTATAATCAGGTGAGCCGTGGTTCTATCCTAAACTAATGAAAATAAAAAAAAACGTAATTATCCAACTTCCGAGTACATATGGTGGGCCAGTTAGGTTCATTGAATGCGGTTATGACCTGGAACATCCTGCTTTCAAGAATTGTGAGAAACTCGAATACAGTTACTAGTAGACTGAAATATTTCTGACTGACGGTCTCGCAATATATATTTCTTTAAAAAATTTCGTTAGCAAGCTTTATCTCACCGGATTCAACACAAAAAAATTACGTTAAGGAAAGAAATAAACAAAAAAAAGTAAAATGTTACCGCAGCGAGTCCATGGTTTTTACCTTGATTCTGTTGCTCATAAAGTTCTTCGTTTCTGGTGATCGTGAATTGTCAGTGGCTGTCTTCGCCACGCCTTTTTAAGGTAGAGAAAATAAGCAATATAAAACCAAGAATCGGACTGTTTTCATCACTACAGAGCGTTGTCAATCTCCTTTATCCTTTAAACTTATCTCAAGCATTAAGAGTAAGCAACAATGTTGAAAGTGATTTTAGTTAAGCAGTCCTCGACCAATGCATCAAGAGAGCTTTGTTAATAATTTTAATGGAAAATAATGTCAGCGGTTAAGATAAAAAAAAAAATACATTCTGTAAACACGAGGAAAGTGCTTTACAAATTTTCCTTTTTCTCTTCCCAATTTTGCAGTAAGAAATTTGTTCACAAGCATCGTCGACATGCTTTTACAATTTTCTGGCTCTTTTTCTCTGTTCTATAGTTGATCCTAAATTGATTTTTTGTTTCGTGCCAATTTATGCGCTTGTTCTTGACTTGCGGAGAAATAGGAAGAAGATCTTGTTCTGAAAGACTAAAAAAAGCGTTTCTCTTAACAGTTATCACTAGAACAATTGTCGGTGCATATTTATTGTACACGCACTTGACTGACTTCCTCATTCTGTTCAAGTGTAATTGCTCTGAAGAAGTCAAAAATTAGAAATGAATTTAAGGCCGAGCCATTAAATGATTTTAGCACGTTTTTGTCAGAAACCCAAGGTAGCTGCGGCAGTCGTCTATGAGCCTTTAACACTGGAAATTTTTGTAGAAAAGACAGATGAGTGCAGTTTTTACCAGGGGTTTCTCTTCCTTCCTGCTATTTTTCAGGTTGGTCACCAACCCGGGACATGGTCGTCAAACTGCTCTACAACCAGTGAAAGTGCATTATTTTGTTATTGTCGAGATTGAATATATCAAAACAAAGTACCTTATAAAATGAAAGGTAGAGATTCAATAAAGTGCCCATAAATGGCCCCGCACTCGACAACCTCGTCCGCAGCGGTCTTCCATCAGAAATTGGGAGAGGCTGCCTTCCGGAAACAAAGTTCCATATCAGTTCTGACCGTTCTGACGTTTATCTTCCTCATTCCTAACGTATTCTCATAGAGCAGAGGAGGGTGTCTTATACGAAGCAATAAAGAATTTTTGTGAATACACTTTCTGTTCATGCAAAAAATCGTAAAAAAAAATTTATGCCCCATGCTCGTTCTCCCAATCATTAAACAATAGTTAGGCCAAGTACATTGCTGTGCCTGAGCTCTGTTTGCTGTAATGAGATTCACTACACAACACTAAAATATGCCATATTTTGGCCACTTGAGTGGCCTTTTATTCTTTAACAAGATTTTTAGAAAATACAAGACAGAAACTGATTATCCAATTACAGCAAAGGTGAGGTCAAAAACCGCCCACAAAAAGAAAGTTGACAACTTCTCTCCTCCAGAACTAGGGAGGGAGTGGGAGGGGAAAAAACCTTTGCACACGGCGGTGTGAAGACAAAGACTGGCTTGTAACCTAGCCTGCTTCAACTTATATATCACCCTGAACATCACGTCCCGGATGTAACCACTATTCACATGATCTAAACTTAAACTCTCCCAGGATAACTAAGCCGGATGCATAAAAACATTTACTCCCTCTCCGGGAGTAAATCTCCTATTTGTTCCCTTTTTGCTCGCTGATGCTCGTTCCCTACCTGATGTCCGCTGTATCTGTGGGACAATAAAGAAGACTTTAGCAGGATCAGATTTCCGCAAGAATTCTTAAAAAGTTGTCGATTCCGTCACGGGCAGTTGTCTTCAAATTGAGTATTTCTGTAAGAACCTCGCTTGAGATTGGTGAAAAGGGGAGGATTATATCTAAGCGGAACAGGACGTAAAATAGATTAAAAACCTGGTTATGCAGTTGTCTAACAAAGTTATTCGTTTCCTGGTCAACAGGAAAGGCTTGCCGCAAAACGCTTGTGTGCATGAAGCCCCAGCCTTTAACATTCAACAAGTCTTTTATCCAGCACATGTGCGGCCTTAATTGTGTGTAACTGTTTCTGCAATTAACAGAGTAGTTTCCTCGCGAGATGCGGTAGCGTTTCCATAACTTTCCAGTTTAGTTACCGAAGTTCGTCACGGTGGTGGTTTGTGATATCAAGAACGCTCACCTTCATTCATCTTTTTTAGTTTTAACTCATTTCACTTGAAATCTTGCAACAATCTAGAACTCACCATTCCAAAAAAAACCTGTTTTTTCAATTGTTTTCCAGTTTTTGGCATTTTTGGCGGGAAAAGAAGTCACAAAGTTCCCGCCAAATTTTGTTTTCAATATTATGGGATATGTAATAATGGTTTCTGAAAGAAGTCACCATAAGGATGTCCAAAGTGAAAAAATATTTGAAATATGCCTATCCACTCAAAAGATATAGCGTTCTGAAAGTTTAATTTTCCGCCATTTTGTTACTAAAAATAGCACAAAATGGCGAAAAATTCAATTGGAAGGCTCGTTTTATCTGAGTTCTAAGCGTTTTAAAAGGGTTGTTAAAAGCTAACGAAAATGTACATAAGTGCACTGACAACAATTTCTATTGAAAAGCTAACAATTTTGATACGGCACGAAATGGTCCTCTACATGGCTGTATTGAGGTGAATTTTTGTTTTTTTGTTCGTTTGTTTGAGTTTCGAGTTTAAATCGTCATTTTCTCTTTAAAAAGATTTTAATGTTTGTTTTCTCCGAGATAAAAAAAAATGTCGGGAAAATGCTACACGGCTAAAATGCTCTAATAATGCTTTGATAAATGTGGCTGTAAATGGTAGGTACGTTTACATGTACATGAAGTATTTAATTTCAGCGCTTTATTCAAAATTCCATATTTTCGTCGGAGTGTTCCGGGTGCTCTCTGACTGGCATTAAGCTTACGGGGTCTAGCTTATCTCCGATATTATTTGTTGTTGTAACAATTTTAAGTTGTGGTCACTTTCTTAACCGTTGTAAGAGCCGTCTTCTTCTAAATTTCATTCAGGTTGGTGGTGCGATAGTTAAATCTCTACTGTTTTTATTGTTATCCTCATATGTCGTTGCAGTTGTTGCCTCGGTAATGTTTTTCCTTTTTTGGGCTGTTATTGCGGTTTCGCTGCTGCATGAGACAGCCTGTGATGGTTTTTGCTGTAGTTGTAGTTGTTGTTGTTGTTGTTGTTGTTGTAGTTGTTGACAGCTGATGACGGCTGTTCTTGTGGGAAGAGCATTTAAACAAGTCTCTAATAGCTTTTCGCATATTTCTAGAACGACCGAGGTTTAACAAAGGATTTAAAACTCCATTTAATTGGATGAAAACAACGTAGAAAGGCCTAAAAGGTAGAGAATTCTTATAGAGCCCTTTCGCAGACAAAACAAATGGAACAAGAAGCGCTGGGAAGTAGGTCAATACCAAAATCAAAAGAATCCCAGCAACTGTGTTAGTTAATCGTTTTTCCCTTTTCAAAAGAGCGTCGTTTGGATTTCCTACTTCAACAGTTTTTCGAAAATAAATGCGAAGATAATGAAACATTATGATAATGAAGTAACTAGCGAAAAGAGCTAACATTAAAGTATGTGCCAAACGTTTGTAAACGCCCCCAAAAGTTCCTGACAAGAAGACCGCAACTGCACCAACCACACTGATGCAGCACGGTATGCATACTACCTTAAAAGCACGTGATTTTGTCATGTGATTGCGATACCACCAAGGACTTCGCACGGCCAAATAGCGATCTCTACTGATAACTGCCAGGTTACCGAGCGTGGTTTGGACACAAAGAGCACTGAAAGCAGATTCAACAGGCCTAGGCTGCACGTTTCGACAGGTGAGCCGTTCGTATGTGAAATATGCTACGAATCTGTGCATGGTATACAAAGGCAATATTGTGTCAGTCACTGCCAAACTGCCTATCATAACCATCGCGGGATATTGAAGGGATTTGGTTCGTGCAACAGCTATGATAACAAGCGTATTTAAGACAAATGACGAAAAAGCCAGAATAAGATTCAGAGGACGGAAAACGTATTTGCTAATGTTCAGTAACTGGAGTTGGGTATCGATTGAAAGGTCAGCAATCAGGCAATCTTGGTAGAGAAACTGACTGGAGTTGTGAGGAGCCATCGTTCAAACCTGAAATTTAAAACAAAAAAAGATGCCATTAATTCCGAGTTTATTTTTGGCAAGAGAGTATGATCATTCTCTCTTGTTTTTGGGTAACCTTGGTTCGTTAAAGGACACCCGCGCGATACTGAACGATTTTCTTTTATGAATTAAAACGTCAGTGCTTAGACTAGATCTTTGTTTAGAGTTATAACTGATAATATTCGACACTTCGTTTAAGCAAAATTTAATGCTGAGTCTTTTTTACACTTTTTGCTTGATACCTGAGAGAAACTAGCATACACTTTAGTGACAGTCTTGCACTATGTTACCTTCAAAAACTCATGCTGAAAATTTAATTAACCGAAGATGAAACCTGCGGCAACACTAAAGTAAATTTTGGTAAATCATGTGAAATAAAATAAAAACTTATTGCAGCAAACACAAAAAGAAGTACTCTTGCTTTACTCTACGCTCTGCTCATTTGCATGGCCGTGACAAGAACACTACTGAGGAAAAAACTGACGATAAGTAAAGCAAGAGACGATGGTTTTTACCTTAAGCTTGGGTACAAGTTTTCTCATAAAGTGCTTCTGATCAGTTGATGTTAATAAATCTTGACTGTCACATTTAAAGCTTGACAGAATAAATAATATCAAACCTGGAAGAAATGTTTCAGCACTACTAAGGACCGTGGCTGTGGACTCTCCTAAAGTTAATTGTCACTTTCCAATAATTGAAAGTGATTTTAGTTAAGTATAGGCCTTGACTATCATGATAAATTAAGAGATCTCAGTTAATAAGAAGGATATTACAATAAAAAATGAGATACAATGGGAGTGATTAACATAAAAAAAGGCCCACACAAACTGTAACCACTCTACAAATTTTCTCATTCTCTTTCGCAATTTCAATTGTAGCAAAACAAAATTGTACAACCACAGTTGACGCGCCGTAATTGCTTTCAGAAAGCCGAGTTTCCGTTTCGTGTCAATGGGGCGACATATTTCTTTCCTTTCAACTGTAACCATCGTGCGCATTTTTTAAAGCGTTATAATGGCTCCAAAGAGTTCAATGGTTTGTCATTCTCAAAGGACTTCCGAAAAACAGGAAATTGAAGAAAAGTATATTTAGTCGTTCTTCACATAATTTCGTTATTTAATTGGTTTTAACATTTATTCTTCAACTTAACATCCAACTGTATGTTTTCATTCAAGTAAAAGACTGATAACCATCGAGAGATATTGAAGACTGACATCTGGTTCGTGCAACAGCAATGATAATTTAATAATAGGCAAGTTGACTAATGACAAGAAGGCCAGAATAAAACTCAGCGGACGGAAAACGTAGTAGGCAATGTTAAGTATCTTGTGTTGGACAACACTTGGAGGGTCAACAATCAGGCACGCTTTGGAGGAAACTGGCCGGAGGTGTTCAGCCAAGGTTCTTTCGTGAAATTTAAGATGAACGTGCTTAAAACTCCCGAACGTATATGGTGGGTAAACTTGGTTCATTAAAGGACACCCGCGATATGGACACTGAAAAAATTTTTTATTAATTAGAACGTGCTGTTTTCAGTAAGATCTTTGTTTAGAGGTAGAAATGATAATTAACAATTATTCCTCGAGCCCGAATGGGCTCTGAGTCAATAGCTCCATGAGGCCGAAGGCCGAATGGACTATTGACTCAGAGGTCATGAGGGCGAGAGGAATAATTGTTTTGGTAAAATCCAACTAGTTTGTCAAAAATATCGATAATAAAAAAAATTAGCTGGTTAAAGCTGGACTTTAATCCTTTTTTGCCGCCAAAAAGCCCCCGCTTTTCGCTACTAGTGGGCTATAACATATAGCCTAGTACTAGCTCAACCAATCAGAACGCAGCATTGATAATAGACCACTAGCTGGATTTTACTAATAATATTCAAACTTTATTTGAGAAGTGAAAACTGAAGGCAACACTAACAATAGTCATAACACGGCAATAGTCATAATTAAAACCTTAAAGCAGGGGCGGATCCAGGATTTTTTTTAGGAGGGGGTGCACTCGTCTCTTGCTCTACTTCAACACCAATAAACCACATAGTTTTTTTTTTTTTTTGCAGAATACCAGTTGTATTAGAAAACCGCAGGTCATCTCAGGGGGGGGGTGCGCACCCCCTGCACCCTCCCCCTAGATCCGCCCCTGTAAAGCACTGAGGGGGCTTGAGAAAACAAAGCTGACAAGAGAAGTGTATAAATGCATACAAACCAGAGGCATAATTATGCTTCTGTACAAACTTAATATACGTTTACTTAGCTTCCTTCGCAACTGAAACAAAGTAGTGAAGGATCGTCGATAACGACTTTTTCCAGAATGATAACAAGTACGTAAAACGTGATAAATATTTTTCTTTAGCGGAGAGCCCCATATTTTAGTCGTGGTGTTATTAAACCATGCACAGACTTTAATCTTGTTCTTGATCTCAACTATTACATGTTTTTGTTTAATTATGTATGGTTACTTTTTTAATTGTTGTAGTTACAACAATTAAAAAAAGTAACCACATAATTAAACAAGAACATTCCAAAAGAGCTTCGTTTAGATTTCCTACTTCAATAGTTTTTGGAAAATAAATACTAAGATAACAAGACATTATGACAATTACATAAAGAGCGAAAGGAACTGGAATTAAAGTTTGTGCCAAAGATTTGCCAACGCCTTCAAAATTTTTCGAAAAGTAAAGTACAACGGCAATTAGCACACTGTTGAGCCATGGTATACATACTATCTTGAAAGCACGTGATTTTGTCACGTGATTACGATACCACAACGGACTCCGGGTTGCCACATGGCGATCTCTACTGATTACAGCCAGGTTACCAAGCGTTGCTTGGGCACAAAGCGCACTGATGGCAGAATGGAGCAGGTGAGAGTTTGGACACATGTGTTCGTGTGTGAATATTTCTATGTACCTGTACAAAGAATACAGAGAAAATATTACGTCAGTCAATGCCAAACTGCACATCATAACCATCGCGGGATGTTGAAGGGATCTAGTTCGTGTCACAGCTACGATAACAAGCGTATTACAGAGAAGTGACAAAAAAGCCAAAATAAAACTCAGGGGACGGAAAACGTAGTTGCCAATGTTAAGTATCTGATGTTGAACATCACTTGAAAGGTCATCAATTAGGCAAGCTTCGTAGGGAAACTGTTGGCTGGAGTTTTGCGCAGCCATGTTTCGATCCTGAAATTGAAAAAAAAGGAACGAATAAAAATTCCGAGTTTGTATGGTGGGTAAACTTTATTCGCTAAATTCAACACCCGCACGATAACGAACGATTTTTTTTTTCTTGAATTAGAACGTCCAGCTTACATTAGATCTTTGTTTAGAGTTATAACTGATAATATTCGAACCTTGTTTGAGCAAAATTTAATACTGAGTCATTTTTACACTTTTTGTAAAAATTGCGAGAAACTCGCATACAGTCAGGACAACTTGCTGACAGTTTCGTATTATGTTACCATCAAAAATTGCTACAAAATTAATCAAGCGAATCGAAGGTGAAAACTGACGGCGACTCAAAATTAAAATTTTGTTACTGCATACTCAGTTTTCGAAAACAAGCTTGTTTATCTAGCCTGATTCGAAAAACAACATAAAAAAAAGGAACGAAAATATGATAATAAAATAAAAACTTATTGCAACAGACACAAGATAGCGTTTGCATGGCAGTTAAATAAGTAATAACAGTACGATAAGTAAAGCAAGAGACCATGGTTTTTACCTTAATTCTGTAGGCGGGTTTTCTCATAAAGTTCTTCAATTGGTGATCATAAATCGTTGCTGTCGCAGCAAAACTTTTTACAGCTTGACAGAATAAACAATATTGATCAAACCGAGAATAGAACTGTTTCAGTCAACAGGCGCCGTTGTCAAAGGCTTCTTGATAAGTCGAAGTGATTTTCATAAAAGTTAATAGACCTGGACTGATTCATTAAGACTTTTGGGTTAGTTAAGAAGCAATTAGAATAAAAACAAAATATGGGAAAGATTAACATGAAAAAACCGGCCCACACATACTGTAACCACTTTAATTACAAATTTTCTTTTCCTCCTTCCCCATTATCAATTGCAGGGGGAAAAAAACCTGTACACACGTGCCATAATTGCTTTCAGAATGCCAACTGTACGTTTCATGCTTGATTCGATGGACGTTTTTCTGTTCCCTGGTTACTAGAGGGAGCAGATTTCTGAAGAACTGATTCGGCCTTTTAACAGATACCAACTTGATTTACATTTTTACATCCATTTAACTTTCTTCCGCATTTTGTTAATTAAAAGCGTTTTAATCACTTCAAAGAATTCAATAGATTTTCATTTTCAAAGGACTTCCGAAAAACAGAAATTGAGGAAAGGTAAGTCTGACCTTCGTCACATAATTTCAATTAGTTTTCACTTGGTTTTATTCTTTGTCTTAAAATCCAACTGTTTTTTTACAGTAGCTCAAGTGTTTTATGCAAAGAAACAAAATTTTTAATTAGTCTTAATGGATTATGCGGATCTTTATAGAAAGTTTTCTGGGCGTCTTAATTTGATTGCATCTGTTAAATTATCCAAATTACCAATAACTATATATACTCGTTCTTGGCAAATTAAATCCTAGATGAATTATATGATCTAATCTTTTGACTCACTTTTTTTTTAATGAACATGGCACGGCAATCGTCATAAAGCCTTTAACGCAACTGGCTTTTAACATACACAGCTGATAAGAGAAACATGCGAGTACTTCAAAGTTGAGCGTTTATTCAATGTTTAATATTTGTAATATCTATTTTTGTTTATTTATTTTTATCTATTTATCCTCGGATTAGCATGTTATTGTTATTTTTCAATTCCAGAATAAATAGAGATTATTGTTGTTGTTATTGTTGTTGTTGTTGTTTACTCAGTTTCCATCCACACGTAAACGAAATTGCACGTGACCTCTGCCGTGCCGTAGCGTTAACCACCGTAAAAGATACAAGCAAAATTAATTAAATTGTAAAAGGTTTAAATAGTTTTCATTTCAAGACTAGAATTCTTGTTACCCCAGTAGATTCCTAATTTTGCTCCCTGGAATCTATTAGATTGTATTGGACATGACTGCTACTTTTGTCATTCGTTTCAACTGCTCAGATAAATGTTATTATGATGCCAAGAGTCTTCCGAGTTTTTTCAAGTCCGAACATTGATTCCCCTTCGAAGAAAAAAATTTAATAGAGAAAAAGGCATTTAGACTTTAATTTGCTTGGTTGCCATATGCTTCCCTCTCAGATACATGTGAAAAGGCGGCAGCACGCTGAGAATCAGATGGTACCCATATTGCCTGACTGTTAGTATACGTTAAATCTTGTGGTATCCAGTTTCAGAAAATTTAATTAAGTGATATCTCCATTCCGAACGGTTCTCTCACCTAGAAATTTGGAGATCTTTTAAGTATGCCATTCAGATCCTTTGATATGAGCAGGAAAATTGACCTTTGGTGGAAATATACAACATCTCTTAAAGGGGACATTCAAAGTAAATAAGTCAGCTCCTTGGATGACCTCTTCTAGGTTATCTGGAGGTAGGATTGATTCAGGCAATAAGAGAAAAATCTTTTCATTTGTCAAGTTTGTCCCTCTAACTGAGTATAAGTTTCTTCAAGTTTTCTGGCTAACACGAAAACCTCGTTGGCAGAAATTAACGTAAGGAGTCTTCTAAGCTTCAGTTTTAGCGATGTGATGTATAGATGACTAAAATCACCGTTGTTCCCATACGTCATCAGCACTTCTTATTGCTGAGTCGGTGTTGTTGGTGCTTTTGGGGGTCATTACAGTAATCCCTGTTGTATGGGAATGATTATGGTTTTTGCTGCTGTTGTTGCTGGTATTTTTCACACATGAATGTGGCTGTACTTTCGGAAGGCATTTAAACAAGTCTTTTATAGCTTTTCGCATCTTTGTAGAACGGCCGAAGTTTAACAAAGGATTTAAAACTCCATTTAACTGAAAAAAGATCATGAAAAACGGACGAAAGGGCAGGAAATTCTTGAATCCTTTTGCAAACAAAACCGTTGGGAAAAGAAACGCCGGGAAGTAGGTCAATACAAAAATCAAAAGAATCCCAGCAACTGTGTTAGCCAATCTTTTTTCCTTTCTCAAAAGGGCGTCGTTTTGATTTTCTATCATAGTTTTACGAAAATAAATGCTAAGATAACAGAACATTATGACAATTACATAAATAGCGAATTTAAATACACTAAAAATTACTCCCAAAAGTCTATAAATACCTCCCAAACTTACTGACAAGTTAATTACGAGTACAGATATTACACTGGTCAGCCACGAGATACATACTATCTTAAAAGCACGAGAATTCTTCATGTAATTACGATACCAAAAAGGCCGTCGGACTGCCACATAGCGATCTCTACTTATAATTGCTAGGTTGCCAAGCGTTGCTAAGCCACAAAGAATACTAAAGGAGGCCTGAAGTGGATGAGAGATTTGACACATGTGTTGGTCTGTAAACATTTCTATATATGTGTACAGAGAATGCAAAGAAAAAATTACGTCAGTCACTGCCAAACTGCACATCATGACCATCGCTGGATATTGAAGGGATCTTGTTCGTGCCACAGCTATGATAACAAGCATATTAAAGACAAATGACAAAAAAGCCAGAATAAAGCTCAAAGGACGGATAACGTAGTTGCCAATGTTAAGTATCTGGTGTTGAACATCACTTGGAAGGTTAGCAATAAGGCACGCTTCGTATGGAGGCTGGCTGGAGTTTTGAGCAGCCATGATTCTATCCTAAAGTTAAAAGAAGAAGAATGTAACTAGTACTTCGATTCTGCGTAGTAGGTAAAATGGGTGCGTTGAATGCCGCTCCGCATAATTGTTAGTATCAAACCCATTTTACCTGACCCATTTTCCAAAATTTTAGTATCTTGAGTTGCGATCCCTAGTGGTACTAACTCAATTTATTTATATAATTAAGAAAGTCTAGTTTTCATAAGACGTTTGTTTAAGGTTATAACTGATAACAGTCATGCCATGTTTGAGCAAAATTGAGTCCTTTTTTAAAATTTTTTGGGGGATAAATTGTAAAAAAAACGCCCAAATCATTAGCACTTTTTTACTGACGGGGCTCGAACTTGTAGATATTGCTTCAAAAATTAAGAATTGATTGAAAGCAAAAATTACTGCTATATAGAGGCAGATTTTCATCGGATGCTTACTTCTCTCGTAACAGTGATTGTTTAGCCTATCAGATTAAAATAATGTTAATTTTTATAAATTTGCTGTAGACTAAACACCAATCATGCAAATATATTTAAGAAGGCATCAGGGATTTACCTCGTTGACTCCGGATGGGTTCAGTTGTAAAGTTCACCAGTAACCGGCGTTCATGTATCGTGGCTGTCGCTCAATCAAGATTAAACTGAAATAAAATCTAACTGTTCTCGATGTCTCTTACATATTCTTGTGCAGAACAAACATTAAGAGTTATTTAGCAACAATGTCGAAAGTATTGTTAGTTAAGTATTGCTGGACTGATCCAATAAGGAGAAATCGGTTTATTGGACGGTGATTGGAATCAATGCTAAATAATGGAAAAAGTTAACATTCAAACACCTGTCGACACATGCTGCAAACACTAAATACACATTTTAATTATTTCTTTCGTAATTGTGCAGCAATATCACACATATCCGAATTACTTCAACTACAAAATCGTATCTCTCTTTATTCTTTAGTTTATCGATAAAAAAACAATTTTCTTTGAGTGCAATGCCCATATTTCGGTTTTTCGGGATAAAAAAGAGTTGGGGATGCTTGTTCTTAAGATTCATTAATCACTAGAAAGACTTCCATTTAGTTTTTTTTACCTCGAATTAATTGGCTGCGTTATTCGTTTCATCAAGGGTACTTGCTGTAAAGAATTTAATGGATTTGTTATTTTGTAGCTAATGCCGCAAAGCAGAAATAAAGAGATTAAAGAGAAACGCATTTAATTGACGTCTTCTTAAAAATCAGAATTACTGCCTGGGTTATAAATATACAAAAATATATCTGATTAAAATTACAATTAACCATGAATTAAGGATTTTTTCTGACGCACTTTTTTTAATTTTTATTTCTTATTTATTTTTTTACTATTATTTGAACATTGCAACCATCTTTGAGGCTTTGACGGATGTTACTAAAACTGGGAATGGGGAGCGAGGGTACGCGCACGCAGAACAGAAAAATGAAACATGGCAAAAAAGCAGAGAATTGGAAATAAAGTCATTAGGGAGCTTAAGCAACGACGACGGCGACGGCACAGAACGGCAAAGAACAACAACTCTGCACGTACATCACGCTATTTTTCACATTTCTTTGCCGTCGTCGCACGACTACGACATGAAACTACCTAATTTCACCTTGTGTGGAGGACGTGAACACATGACAACGACCCTCTTTTCTTTTTCTGAACTTTGATACAGTCCTTTAGAATTCAACCCCTGAAAAATTCGCCAACGTCTGAATTGAACGAGATGGAATACGCGTGATTAAGTTTGAAGCAGCACGAACACACTTTTTAACTGATGCTTTCGTAGCCGTCGCCGTCGTTGTTACTTAAGCTCTGTACTGTTAGGTCTAGGGCTCACGTTAAGTTTTGTTCCCCTTTTTCTTATTTTCCTGTTCCCCCTGCTCGTTCCCTGCTTCCCGTTCGTCATTTTAGTAACATCTGCCTTTAATGTAGGTAATGTTTGTAGGTCCAGAGTTAAATTTGTTAATGATCCAATGATGAAAGCGTTTTCGTTCCCTCCCTGTACACTCTGTACATTTCTCAGCTTGTGTACATGCGTCCCAAGATGGGAAATTTCTCATCATCGGCCGGACTGCCTCGGGTGCGTTTGTTGTTCTTGAATAGGATATATCACAAGGTCACGTTTGAAACAGCTCAAACAGACGAAAGTACTATAGATTTCAGTGCTTATGGGTGCGGTTACAAGGGACACTTTTACCCTGGTAAATGACTCTCTAATTCAGCTCGATAAACAGCTAGGCCCTATAGGTTTTTCTCGGCAGGGTTCTTTTCTCCTTACCCAGCCGGGAAAACAAACACCCCTCGAATTTTGAAAGATCTGTTTTTGCGCCTATCTTGCAGAAAATAGGCCCACACCGGCGCTTCCGCATCTGTCGTTGGCTCCCTGTTTTCGCCAATTGAGAGAAGAAAGAAAACCGTTTTCTCGGCGCCACGAAACATTTGTTTTTCTTAGCTTGTTGCCAAATACTCGCCCTCTACCATTTCGAAGGCTTTTTTCCATTCCTTTTGCGGCAGCAGCCTCTCACAGAGCCAAAGCTTGTGCCTGCTTTCCTCTTCTTTTCTGCTGCACAAGCTCTTCCTCTTTCTCCAGCTGTTGTAGTATCTCCAACAGCTCGTTCATCTGGTCTGGATTTGGGATCTGGGTACTGTGCAATTTTTATGGTTTTTTTTTTGGAAAGGATCTTTTGTACAACAGAGCACATTTCTTGTTTTTCTACAAGAAAGCGCCAGCGCCTTTCCAACAGTTTGTCCATTTCCTCGATTTCTTTGAGGCCCTTCTTGTCCTTTTCCCGCTACTCCTTGATGAACTGTTTCATTATTTCTTCCCAGAACACTTTTGCTCGGCATCCAGAGGCACCTCGAATCACCACGGCACGAAGCCTTGTCGAGAGTGTGGAGAGCTCTCGCTGCGCTTCTATCTTGGGCATCTCCACTAGCTTGACGAGGGCTTTTCTACTCCTATGGCACTTTTTTTTTTCGCCACATCCACACGATGCGCTCTGTGGGTGGAAGGAACTCTGCAGGGTCTGGTGCATCGGGGTGTATCTGGCACGGTTTTGGGCTTGGTGCCAGGATTGTGTCTTTTGTCCAGCAGCAGAGTTTGGAGAACACGACTTCATCGCCCGGCACGGCCAAGATCTCTGTCACGACGATTGGGCAACGCCGGAACCTAAAGACTGCGGCCATCCACTCCTTTTGTCCACTCCATCTCTTGTTGGTTTGGCAACTATCCCCTGCACTTTGCCCCTGTACTTTGCCTAGTTCTCTACCTGCGGTTCATCTGCGAGAAGGAAACAGCGGTTCAAGACCCATCCAAAGTTCTGCAATTGCCTTTTAGGCGGCTGTATCACAAATTAGCAAACCATCTTACTCTGGAGACACTTCCTCCAAGGCGTTTTCTATTAATTCTTCCGCTGTTTCTGCGGAAAGCCCCCTCCTTTGGCAAGCGTATAAAGACACCTCTATTCAAGTACAATCTCTTTTTTGCACGTGTCGGTGTGCAAGAGCTTGCGAAGGTGTTTGTCTGTAGAAAAGACGAAGTCCGCGAGATGACCTCCAAATGGGTCCTGGACCTGGCCGGCTTCGAACTGTGAGACTATTTTAGTGTACAGCTTGACCCCTGTCGTATACCCGCTTTCGATCTGCATCCAAGTGCAAACGTGCTCGCCAACGTTCGCTGCGTTGTCCAAGATAGTACCTCGCGTTTCTGGGAACACACAATCCTGGAAAGCAAAACTTCTCGATTTGTGCAAATGGTCGACAAGCGCTTTTCGGTCGAGCGTGCCCGAAAAATCTTTGGTGAAATCGATTTGGAAGATGGGCTAGCCCCTGGGCTCTAACAGTCTTTCCAGCGTTGGAAGAGCCTTCCTCCTTCTCCACCTCCGCGATGTCAGCCTTCGCAAGCTTTCACAACAACATAGCAAAAAGGCTCCTTTTCTGGGAACAGAGCCTACCTGTTGTTTTTTGCTCTTCTGTTTGTTTTCGGTTTGGGGCTGTTTGCTAGAATGGTGTACAACAGATTGGTGTTTTGTAGGCGCCTCCGACGGTTTCGCGGACAGGTTGGAAATGCCCGACACTATTCGTTTTCCGGAGCCGTCTTCGCCAGATGTGCGAAGCAAGCGCTTTTGAACCGACACGACTTCTTCTTTTGGAAGATGGCCGTAGACGTTGCAGTTGTGTCCTGCCTTAGTGGCCTTCCAGATAGTCCACTTTCGAAACGTCGGCGACCAGGCTGCTCTCCCAACCATTCTCCGCAAGAAGGTGCTTGGCTACGTTCTTTTCAGCCCGCAGCCCGATTTGCGTCAAACTTTCGCAGTGTACCATCATTTTGCTAAAAGTTGCAGACCTTTAATTGGGCACACTCTTGCTTAGAGCACGCGCTTTTCCGAGGGAGCGACAAAAACACACCAGCCACCTCGAGCCGCGCTGGTGGAGGAAGCCGCCCAAAAGGTGTGTCGAAAATTGAATGTGCCGTCCAGTTTTTTCCGCTCTTGTAAACTGCCCCTGAAAATTCTACAATCAAGACTTCATAACGGCGTGGTGGTGGATCATCCGCACGTCCTTCCAAAATTTCAAGCCACTTTACATGCGCTGATTGGGATTGTTCATAATGCATCGTATGAAAAGGGTCAAATCCTTCCAGCCCCATAGCGGGTTGGTGTTTCGACTTTTTTTGGGTCTCATGGGCCGCTAATTGGCTGATACGCCTTTAAAAGAAGTGTACTCAAAAGCCTGCGCTTTGCTTACTCTGCGATCGGTTCATCCAAAATATTTTGTTCAACGGTTTGAAGCGATGAGTCTGCATCACTTCCCTGAAGAAGCTCCTCGACCAATAAATCGTACATCGTGTATTCAAAATCGCCACTCAGGTCTATGAGGTCGTTCTCTGTGGCAATGATGCATATATTTTGCCAATCTCTAATTGGCTGCTCGAGATCCGAGGACCGGGCGGCCCATGGACGCAAACACGCCAAATGGCTGTTTT